CATCTGGAAACTTGTTAGAAATGCAAATTCTACCATCTCTGCAGACAAACTGAATCACGCTAAAAGTTTAAGAACTGTTGCCCTCCAGCACAAGGGCATATTAGGTGATGTCCTCTCTCTCCTTTCATTCACATGTTTTCTCTTCGTCCCACTTTCTCCCACTCTCCATTTTCTTCCCTTCTCTTCTGTTAGTGTTAAAAATCTTCAGATGGTATCCAAATCCATGATGTGGTCACGTTAATTACCAAGATGATCACCGACCCACACTAAGGGTGTTGGGAGATTTTCTGCCCGTAGATAAGAAATACATAACCCAAAAGCCCACCCTGCCAAATATTCAACTACAGACTGTCAGACCCGGGTGGGAAGCAGAATGAAAGGTCCCGATCCATGTCTGTGCCCACCTCCAGTAAAGACATTGAACCTCTTTCTTCATGTAATCCACCCTAAACCCCGGTCTTTCCTCGCATTTCTCATTCCTTCCCTGTCATAACCCACTCGGGCTGCTATAGCAAAGATACCAGAGGCTGGATGGCTTAAACCACAAACATTTATTCCTTACAGCTCTAGAGGCTGGGAAGTTCAAGAGCAAGGCACTGGGAGATTCGGTGTGTGGTGAGAGCCAGATTCCTGGTTCATAGAAGACTATCTTCTTCCTGTGTCGTCTTTACGTGACAGAAGGGGCAAGATTGCTCTCCAGAGTCTCTTTTGTAAGGGCACTGATCCCATTCACGGAGGCTCCTACCTTTATGACCCAATCACCTCCCAAAGGCCCCACTTCCTAATACCACCACCTTGCAGGTTAGGATTTCAACATACGAATCTGGGGGTACACAAACACTCAGCCCATAGCACTCCCCTCTTTCTCTTTACCTAGTAGTCAATCAGCTCTCACTTCGTTTTCAAAGTAGCTCTTACCATCAGCTTTACCTCATTTGCATCGCAAATTATCTTTGCTCCTGCCTAAACCTCACACTATCCATTTTCATTTCCTTCAGCGAGGAGAGGGAAGGCTGAGCTTTGATGAGCTGCAGGATGTATCCTAGAGATTCCGCCTATCTTGTGCTAAAGACAAGGTATTCTTGCTCCGTCCATTTTTAATTGGCTGTCACTGCGGTGATAGAACGTCCCGTTTGAAGAAGTGAGCTCAGCATGAACCAACCGCCCCCACCCCTAGTTTCCTTTCACTAATCTCTAATTTATGTAAATGTTCACCGGATTGTGTTGATATGCTCCCCACTGCGCATCCCCTTGCAGATTTTTCAAACAGATATTCCTCATGTATTTTCCTTATCTCTGAAAGACTTCTGAAAATGTGTCTTGGGTTGCAGGTTCGTTAGAATGTCATCCAACACTGCGCCTCCACATGCAGGGCAAACCAAAGCCAGGAGACCCCGATCTGGGTGTCTAGTATGGTTCTCCCTGGCTATGATCAAGTGCCCTCATTGAAGCATATGAAAAGCAGTTTTTAAAAGTGCTGGAGGACGGACATCCCTTCAGGCAGCAGCTGTTTGATGGAACGCTGAAGGGCATAATGGAAGTAGCGCCTTTATATGTCTGTATGCGCTAGTCTACGAACAAAGCGACACTCTGCCAACCTTTAGATTCTCCTTTTCTCTTTGGCCCTGATATTTCTCTACTTCTATTTTATTATGCTCTTTGCAGCCACCACAAATCCTTTTGGGGGAGAAAAAAAACACAAAATCAATGACTGATTCGTAAAAACAGTGGCAATCGTGTATCTATTACTTTTAGGAATAATTAAAATAATGCTGATATAATTTATATAATGATTTTAGCTTTTCTAAGCATCCCATTCATTTTTTTTTTTTGAAGGATTCATACAGTAAATCCAGGAGCAAATTTTTTTTTTTTGTGGATGAGGAATTAAAATCTAGAGACGCGACTCCCAAGGTCATGCATTCAGTTATCATTAACAATGACAAACAAAAGCAACAACAGCAGCAGCTTATTATAGTCACTTACTACTCACCAGAACTTAAACTCAGGTCCCCTACCTCCAAATTCCATGCTATTTCTCTATACATAACATAACCTTCTAGTATCCCTGAGAGAAAGTGACTAAGTTAATAGATTAGCAGGATGGAGAAATAATTAAAGCCTGAGCCTGTGATACACATCATTAGTCACTAGTATTTGACAGAATATTCACTCAGTTGCTCAATTCTCTGTTAAGGAAGTGTGAGCAAGAGAGAGGTGGGACAAAATAATGTAAAATCAGTGGTCTGGGATCCATCTGGTGGCAGAACCACGACTAATTACTGCTCTTATCATGCACTGTAGATGCCCAATTAGTCCCTGTTAAACCTATTTCTCTGTCTTCCACTGTAACATGTAAACTTGGATGAGGTCATTGAGCTCTGTGAACCCTGATGACATTGCCTGTACAATATTGGACTAGACCATCTCTAGGGTCCCTGTATTGTAATAGTCCCTGCTTCAGTGAATGAGAAGTGGATAGGTTCTTTTACCAGTTCTTGCAAAAAAACAGTTGAGAAAGCAATGCTCAGTGATTATCAGCTGGGGTTTGACCAGCCACAGTTCAGTGATTCCAATACTTTCGTGCACAGTAGAATCAACTGCAGCATATATTTGCATATTTCTTTGTCCTCCCATCAAGAAATTCTGATCCGTGGACCACCATTGAGAAACACTTATCCTCTCCTTGGAAAGCTGATCTTGAATTTGGTGAGTCACCTGAGTAATACCTGCTTCCAGTGAGTGTAATTGGAACCATTAGTCATTTTAGTTCTCAATGAAAATATTTTCTTTGTTCAGACCTTTTAATATTTTTATTTACCAACGAAGTAAAAAAAACTTTCTATTTCTAACAAAGACCGTTGTGAAAAATATACTAAGTAATAAATTACCTGAAGAGAATAAATTAACTACTAAAAGAATAGAAAGAGAATAGAATATTACATATTTAAATGCATTTTTAAGATCTTCACAAATGTTAAAAGGCATTTTATTACAGTAGAGATATTTCCCTTTTAAAAAATGTAAAGATTCTCAATCTCAACTTCAGTACCAATTCATTATAAAAATAATAAAGTTAACTAATTTTTAATAATCTTAATACTAAATAACGGTTTGATTGCTCTATAAAGGAGGTGAAAACATCTTCTGATAAGTAAAACATTGTAAACAAACTCAATCATTATAAACGTATAAGAAAACGGAGAAAATTGAGAACACAATTTTGAACACTAATGGCTCGGAGACAGGAAATTCCCAAAAGCAGGATAAATCGACTGATGGGGTGTGTGAAGTTCAGTAAAATATGGTGAATAATGAAAAATTAAAAATCGACTGACAAATGTCCAGTATAACTCACTGGCCATGAGTAAAGCATAATGTGTTGGTGGAGAGAACGCTACAGAGTTATAGAGCATCTTAGACCCTTCTTCAACTCAGTCTTCTAAGAGATTTAATTTTTTACCAACCTAAACAAATTTTTGTATGTACAATGGAAATCAAAGGGAAAATGAAACCAATTGATTTGACTTGATTACAGTAATTGGTATGTTTTCTCTCTTAATGTTTTTGATACAACATAATTGTCCTCCTAGATAGTGTTAATTTTTTTTTTAGAAATACTTCATATTCTTTCACCTATGACCAAACCCAAGTCAGTGAGTTTTGATTTTCAAGGGAAGAAATATATTTCCAAGAAAAGGTTTCAGATCATGTGAGCTGACAGAACAGTGTATGGCTCACAGTAGATGTTTAATGAACTTTTGTTGAATGAATAAACAACTGGAGAACCCATCTAGGAAACTATATTTCTGGTTGTGTCATAACTTCTCTTTATGAATCACTATTATTTAACTCTCAACCACATGGAAGGAAAGAATATGAGAAAGAAAAATAAATAGTACAAATAAGAGATAAGTTGCTGTCTATAAGAGATGATGAAAAATAAGACATTAAGACAAATATATAAGTAATTACAATGCCAGATAGAATAGCATAGGTACCCACAAAAAAAATGTACAGACATAGTTCAATGCAGGTTAGAGATGAGAAGATATTTTATTCAAGTAGGGAAAAGTATTTCACTATTTTACTAGATATATGTCTTGGCAGATTGTTGGAATTTGAACAGGTGGAGAAAAGATGAGATGATACAGGACACATATGAGTTTTTTAAATGCCAAATAGAAAAGAGTCAATATAACATATACAAACAACTACCAGTCAGAAATCAAAATGGAAGAGACAACCCAATTTACGTGGCAAAATATAGTAGAAATAAAAGGAAATATTTAGGCATAAACTTGGCAAAATATATCTAAAACCAATATGAGAAAAATGTTTAAAGTCTCCTAAAAGAGACAGAGGTAGACTTGAACAAATAGACATTAATTCCATGTTCATGGATATTTCATCATAAATATATCAACCTTCTTTTTAAATTAATATAAATAATAGTAAATAAACTTCTAAATTTAAAGTAATGTCAAACAAACAAACAAGCAAAAAACAGTCCATTTTGACTGGCCTGGGGTAGGAGTGGTGACAGCTTGGCAGGTCCAGAGCCTCTGGGTCATGGGGCTTCCTAGGACAGTGTCTCTGGGTATGACTGAATGGCATTGACACAGAGAGCTCCAGCCTAGGGGACCCAGGGATGGGCACTCTGGCTGAGACAGCTGAGTCACCCATGGACCTGCCCACCCCAGCCAACACTGGACCCACTTCACCACAGATTTCACTCTCTCAGGCTGAGCCTTGGAGAGACAGAGAGCCAGAATCCAAGAGCACAAGAGCGGTAGCAAGCAACAGCAACCTGGGGTGGGGAGGGGGGATTCCATACTTGAAAGTGGGACTCTTGTTGAGACTCAAAAAAACCCCTCTGCGTTCTCAATCCAGGAGAAAGGGGCAAGAGCGTGGTAATGTCCACCCTGCGATCTACTAGGAGGGCTTACAGCAGTTTTTTTTTTTTAACTATTTTTTTTAACATTTTATTTATTTATTTGTCAGAAAGAAAGAGCACACACAAGCAGTGGGAGCGGCAGGCAGAGGGAAGAGCAGGCTCCCTGCTGAGTAGGGAGCCAGATGTGGGACTCGATCCCAGGACCCTGGGATCATGACCTAGGCCGAAGGCAGATGCTTAACCGACTGAGCCATGCAGGCATCCCAGCTTAAGGCAGTTTTAATCTATTTAAACTGTAATTATTTTAACCAGTTTTAACGCAAGATTGGCGAGTGAGGGGAGGATGAGACATGACCAGGCTGAATTCCCTGGAGGAAAAAACCCTCAGAGTGCAGTTGTTTCATTGCAGAGTCTTCCAGGAACAACACTGGTGTAGGAATGAACGAGGGCAGCCCAAGAGGTCAGGGGGGAAGTTGAGCAGGGATACCAATCCCATGGAGATTTGGGAGCTAGGGTGGCCCTGCAGAGTTGTTCGAAGTGAGCCAAGGAGAGCCATGTGTTTGGACCCTCTAACTGACCAGTTACTGGGGTGGGTTGTGTGCCCTTGAGCAACACAGCTCCATTCTGTGGGCAGAGGCTGAGGGTCAGAGAGGGACTCGGGTGGTAGCCACCCACAGCCAACAGACCAGGTGCCTGGGAGAAAGAATGGCTTGTTTCTGAAGGGGGACCTGTGTGGTGTACACAGCATCCTTTCCATCCACACCCACGCTGCAAATTGTTGTGGAGTTGTTCACGCTACTTAGATGTATCTGCCCAAGTTCATCAAAATTATGAAATCCAGTGTGTCTGCACATCCCTGTAACCTCCACACATTTTAACCCGGTCATCTGCACATATTAGATGCTCAATAATTACATGCTGGTACAGAGTTTCTGAGACTGGAGACCAATAATCAGATCATGAACAGTGACAGGGGAGCCTGCAAAGGAAGCCAGTTTGAGAAGAAAAGGCAGTGAGTGTGGTCCATTTTGGACAGATTTAATTTAAAGTGACAATGGTCCAGGCTAGGTAAAGAGGTTCAACGGGTTAAAAAGGTAGGATCATAGTTTGTGCTACACAACAGAATGTGTGACATCATCTTCTCAGTTAATAAGTGTAAGAAAAAAGATCTGGGGGTGGAAGGTGGAATAGTAGATAAATATTTCCCTTTAATATTTTTTATAGAAGGTCTAATATAGAAATAAACATCAGGGGTTTCCTTGCAGGGAAAAACAAAGGAAAGGCTGTGACCAGAAGGGCTGATCTGTCTTGAGATTCAGGCTGCATTGGCAGGGAGTACAATAGGGTTCCATGTACAAAAATAACCCCAATCTCAATGCTCCAAGTCCTCACCTATGTAAAGAACAGATCTTGGCTTTTTTATATAGGGCCTCCTCTCCCTAAATATTCTAGGAATTTCCAGAAGTGTTCACATGTGTCATTTAAATGGCCCCTAAGCCTCACCAGGATTGGACCCTTGATGAAATCACTTTGTCAGAGTCTCCAAGGGTGGGGAGGGGCTGTCAGGGGTGTGCAACGAGGGGAGGATCCATAACACACCTTAAAGCCGTTCCTTGCAGCTCAGCGCCCCTCCTGTTAAGATGATCTCCACTGCCTCCGGCCTCAGCCCTCCCATTCTGCAGGTGCTCATTCAGAGCTATCAGCCCCCGGATGTCTGTGGTTTATCATTCTCGCCAGTTAGCAGAGAAATTCTTTCCCTTTTCTTCTTCACTTCTTCAAAGATTATCTCAGAGTAGAGCTGTTTTGAAGCCAGACAAGAGTCATTTTTCTTTCTCGGAGCTGATGAGCACTTACACAGTTAGGTTAATCTTCTTTGAGCACCTAGAGAACATGGGTGGTGGCAGGAGGGGAGGAGGTGGCCTTATGGGGTCCCAGCCAGGGCGACTCCTTTTTTTATATGTTAATGAGCCATTGTTCTATTTATCATTACTTGTCTCAGTTCCCATTTTCTTCCTCTCCTAGTTCCGTGGCTTCCTTTGATCCATGTGGGCATCCAAAGTGCCCCAAAGTATGAATCTCACAGTAATGTCTCCAGGTTGATATACCAAGACCAACTCTGGTAGTTTCCATGCACCAGGCAAGTTCAGCCTAAAACAAAATGTGCCATCTATTTTCAATACGAAGAGATAATGTTGTCTAAAAGCCTGGGGATAACAGTTAAACCCATTGAAAATCAATAAAAAGCCTTTTAAAGGCCACCATCCTCTTTCAAGACATTTTTCTCAATGCTGGATGTCCCATACCACCAGGCAGTCAGGTAATAGGATTGATTTTTATGTAACTCTGGCTCAAGAACATGCAACTATTATAGGGAATTGGAGAGGCTGAAGAGAAAAGAGAAAATGGGTTTCTATACCTTCTCCCCTAGCACAGCTCCACATTTCTTTTGCAGGAAGTAATTTCCCACACACCCAGCACTAGGGAACAGGGTTGTTCAGCCACTACATTTGAATGCCAACTCTGCCTCTAATTTGCACTAGAGGATGTCCTCACTTAACCTCTTGGTGGGTATAAAATGAAGAGGAAGGGGAATCCCTGGGGAGCACAGTCAGTTAGGCATCTGACTCTTATTTTTGGCTCAGGTCTTGATCTCTGGATCATGGGATCGGGCCCTGCATCGTGCTCCATGCTCAGCGCAGAGCCTACTTGGGATTCTCTCTCTCCCTCTCCCTCTACTCCTCCTGCTCATGCTCTCTCTCTCTAAAATAAATAAATAAATTTTTAAAAATAAAGAGGAAGATACTTCCCATGATAAGTCAGCACCATGCTCCAGCCATATCTACCAGTGATATAACTAGTATAACTAATGATATAGGTAGGCACTTCAAAAAAATATAGAAAAATTTTAAATGAGCATTTTCATCTCAAAGGAATTTTTGAAATCATTAAAAATTTCTAAAAAAAAAAAAAAAAAAAAACGCTATTTTAATCTTATCCAAGGAGAGGCATAATAAGGCATTCTCCCCGGTCAAGCAGAAAGCCCAGAAAGGACAAGCTGCTCGTCTTGCTCCTGAGGGACTGGTTTTGGGCCACTTCTACTGACTGAATCTGGGTATTGCACATCCACAGCTGGCCATGGAGTTCTGCAATAGGCTTCCTTTTCTGCTTCTGCTCGGTTTCCACCTTTGACAGGGGACCCTCTGACCTTCAACACCATCTCCCAGATCCCATCTTTATCACGCTGGCTCTGACATCTGATAACTGACACTGTCTGGCCTCAAGACCTCACTCTCATAAAGAAGTAGTAAAAATCCATTGTATCCTGACCTCCATTCCCATAGGCTATGATGAAAATATTCATTAGAACAAACATAGAAGTGCCAGGGACATTTTTAGGAAGGCAGGAGTCTAGGAAAACTAGCGAATGAAGGCAGCTACTCAAAACTAGGGTGAGTTATTCTAAGAATAAAACCCAGTAACCATGGGCAAACAACCCAACTGTTCCTCCAAAAAGCAGCTGTGAAAAATGCCTGAAAATAAGAGACACTGAAAAATAAATATCTGATTACCCACTGCCACTAGTCCACTCAGTGCCTGGGTATTTAGCCTTACTTACCAGTCAGTTGAAACTCTCTGGAACCAGTGCTTGATTTCTGCATCTTCTTTTTAGGAGAACTTTGTAGACAACCCTCAGCTTGCAAAGAAATCCCCGCTTCTCCCCTGCTTGCCCTTCTTTTTCCCCTTTCCCTCGCTGCTGGAGCTCCCCTCCACCTGCTGACTTCCTGAACTCTCTGACCCTGATGCTTCTGATGGGAGAGAATTCTCGGTTGTACTGTGTTCTTGGTTCAGAAGCCAGGAAAGAAGTTTAAGAAGTTTTAAGAGCTACGTATATCAATTAGAAATGCTCGCTTCTGACTAAAACACAAACCTCAGTAGCAGAAGATACTTGTTTCCTTAAGAAATCCAAAAGTAAGTGGCCTTAAGTTTGGTCCAACAACCCAGCGATTTCATCAAGGATTCAGGTTTTCCCTGTAGATTCTGCTGGAACTTTGAGGTGCTTCTCTCAAAATTCTTCCTCATTGCTGTATCCTACCAGCATCTCAGATCAAGTTTGTGTACAGTGACTCTCCTAACATGGCGGTGATCTCTTCTTCAGGCAGGACACCGAGGGGGCAAGGGGTGGTCACTGATCTCTTATTCTTCGGGCCTCTGACAGTCAGGTGTGAAGAGCAGTGAACTTCCAATCATTCATAGTATTCCAAGAAGGTGAATTACCACCTGAAAGTAATGATGAAGAAAGGAATAGAGTAGAAGTAAGAGGCTGGATTAGATTAGATTAGATCAGATCAGATTGACTCAAATGTCCCATCTAGCTCTAACTTCCTATTAAATGTAATGGGGGGGAAATGGGTATTGAGGGCAGATCCCAACACAATATGTCACTGGAGATAGAAGGAAGAGGAAGACCATCTAGAAGTAGAGCCAGTGTGAATACACAAATGACTCTAGTACAAGACATAAGAGGAGAGCTGCCAGGAGGCTTCAGAGGACAGAAAGAGCAGAGCTGAATGAGGAAATCAGGAGCACCTCTGCAAGAGGTGGAATGATCATCAAGGTGGTGGTACAATTGAGATGTGAGCTGAAGCAGGAGAGGCGTGGTGGACACCCCTGGATGTGAGACTGTGGAAGTTATATTTAATGAAGGCAAAGAGAGAGAGAGAGAGAAGGTATTAATATGCTGATGATGAGAGACATCCTGAAAGTTATGTTCAAAAGCAATTGATTTGGAATTGATGTAAACAATGGATGGAGGAAATGAAGTTCAAGAAGTCCAGTTAGGAGGAGATGGCAACAATCCATAAAGGAGAGTGAGGAGCTGAGGCCAGACGATGAAGGGGCAGAATCTTCAGTCCAGGCATCTGAAAGAATGTGCAGGCAAGAGAAAGGGGGGAGCCACTGACTGTGACCACGGTGATGATGACTGGGCCAGCAGTGCAGTAAACAGGGACAGCGAGGTCAGGAGGACAATCATTTTAGGGAGCCAGAGTGAAATGTGGAGAGAATTTTTATTTTTAAACTATTGACTTTTAATGGGGTTTCTGACATAGATACTGGCATAGATATTTTTCATGGGTTTTCCAGCAGGTGTTTGAAAATGTGAGACTGGAGTTTGGGAGAAAAGTAATCAGGGGTGGGGAGGTGCATCTTTATACAGAGTGTAGTTGAAGCCTAAGTGAATGGATGAAGTAACCAGGGGGAGAACAAAGAAGAACAAAGAGAAGGAAGGGAAGGGAAGGGGAACTAAGCATAGAAACCTAGAGAATGCCCATATTTAGAAGGAAGATTCTATTCTCCCCCACATTTATAACACTGTATGGAGGTTGTTTGAGGGCTGACTGAGTAAACCCCAGTGTCTCACATAGTGCAAACAGACAATAAATATCACTGAATGAATAAATGAACTAAGGGGGGGCAAATTAAAAAGAGGGAGAGATCCAAAAGAAAGCAGGTAATGCAATGTCTCTGTTGGGGGGCAGGGGGAGATTTTGAAAAAACAAAGTTACCTATGGTATCATTTCCTGCATCAAAATGAAAACAAAAGAAGACAGAGAAATCCTGGAGTTGGCAATTAGGAACTCATTCAGATTCTCTAAGAACAAGTTCAGTAGACTTTAGTGGAACAGTCAGGGTAGACATCATGTTGCAATGGGTTAACTGGGAACCCACTGCAGTTTAAAAGAAAAAAAAAGTGCAGATAAGTAATATTCTTTAGTCTTCAAAGAACTTTGGCTTTAGAAAACAGGAGAGTGCCTGGATGGTTCAGTCAGTTAAGCATCTAACTCTTGGTTTCGGCTCAGGTCATGATCTCAGGGTTGTGAGATCAAGCCCCACATGGGACTTTGCACTCAGAGTCAGCTTGAGATTCTTTCCCCTCTCCTCCCTTCCCTCTCCCCCACTTGCATGCACATGTGTGCTCTCTCTCTAAACTAAATAGATAGATAGATGATAGATAGATAGATAGATAGATAGATAGATAGATAGATAGATAGATATAGATAGATAGATAGATAGATAGATAGATAGATAGATAGATAGATAGATGATAGATGATAGATAGAGATCTTTTAAAAAAGAGAAAGAAAAAAGGAGAGATAGGGAAATTTTTGCTTAAAGCAGGATTCCCTTCAAGGTGTTTGTTTATAAATGTTCAAAAACATTATAGAACAAAAAAGAAAATTTGGGTTTGATGGTAAATAACTTGGGATATACTGAGATAGCAAAGTTGAACAGATTTCTTTTCATTATTGCAGAATTTCTCAGAACCTTTAACAAATTACTGTGAGTTCTAAATATTCAAAATGAAGATAATAGTACATAGGATAACTCAAACTTATTTGAAAAATGATTCATTTTTCTCTAAGTATCCCCTAAAAAGTGTTAGGTACATAGACTTTGGAAAACATGGTTCGAGAAAAGGGGAGACAATTTTATAAGCCAAGGAGAAATAGACAGTTAAAAAAGGAGAGATTAAAACTTCTGAAACTGTTCCAAAAAATATAACTGGAAGGAAAACTTCCAAACTCATTTTATGAGGCCACCATTACCTTGATCCCCAAACCAGACAAAGACCCCATCAAAAAGGAGAATTACAGACCAATATCCTTGATGAACATGGATACAAAAATTCTCACCAAAATACGAACCAATAGGATCCAACAGTACATTAAAAGGATTATTCACCACGACCAAGTGGGATTTATCCCTGGGCTGCAAGTTGATTCAACATCTGCAAATCAATCCACGTGATACAATACATTAACAAAAGAAAGAACAAGAATCATATGATCCTCTCAATAGATGCAGAAAAAGCATTTGACAAAGTACAGCATCCTTTCTTGATCAAAACTCTTCAGAGTATAGGGATAGATGGTACATACCTCAAGATCATAAAAGCCATCTATGAAAAACCTAGAGCGAATATCATTCTCAATGGGGAAAAACTGAGAGCTTTCCCCCTAAGGTCAGGAACGTGGCAGGGATGTCCACTATCACCACTGCTATTCAACATAGTATTAGAAGTCCTAGCCACAGCAATCAGACAACAAAAAGAAATAAAAGGCATCCAAATCGGCAAAGAAGAAGTCAAACTCTCACTCTTTGCAGATGATATGATACTTTATGTGGAAAACCCAAAAGACTCCACCCCAAAACTGCTAGAACTCATACAGGAATTCAGTAAAGTGGCAGGATATAAAATCAATGCACAGAAATCAGTGGCATTCCTATACACCAACAACAAGACAGAAGAAAGAGAAATTAAGGAGTCGATCCCATTTACAATTGCACCCAAAACCATAAGATACCTAGGAATAAATCTAACCAAAGAGGCAAAGGATCTGTACTCAGAAAACTATAAAATACTCATGAAAGAAATTGAGGAAGACACAAAGAAATGGAAAAACGTTCCATGCTCATGGATTAGAAGAACAAATATTGTGAAGATGTCAATGCTACCGGGGCGCCTGGGTGGCTCAGTCGTTAAGCGTCTGCCTTCGGCTCGGGTCATGATCCCAGGGTCCTGGGATCAAGCCCCGCATCGGGCTCCCTGCTCGGCGGGAAGCCTGCTTCTCCCTCCCCCACTCCCCCTGCTTGTGTTCCCTCTCTCGCTGTGTCTCTCTCTGTCAAATAAATAAAATCTTTAAAAAAAAAAAAAAAAAGATGTCAATGCTACCTAGAGCAATCTACACATTCAACGCAATCCCCAGCAAAATACCATCCACTTTTTTCAAAGAAATGGAACAATAATCCTAAAATTTGCATGGAACCAGAAAAGACCCCGAATAGCCAGAGGAATGTTGAAAAAGAAAAGCAAAGCTGGCGGCATCACAATTCCGGACTTCAAGCTCTATTACAAAGCTGTCATCATCAAGACAGTATGGTACTGGCACAAAAACAGACACATAGATCAATGGAACACAATAGAGAGCCCAGAAATGGACCCTCAACCTTATGGTCAACTAATCTTTGACAAAGCAGGAAAGAATGTCCAATGGAAAAAAGACAGTCTCTTCAACAAATGGTGTTGGGAAAATTGGACAGCCACATGTAGAAGAATGAAACTGGACCATTTCCTTATACCACACACAAAAATAGACTCAAAATGGTTGAAAGACCTCAATGTGAGACAGGAGTCCATCAAAATCCTAAAGGAGAACACAGGCAGCAACCTCGTCGACCTCAGCCACAGCAACTTCTTCCTAGAAACATTGCCAAAGGCAAGGGAAGCAAGGGCAAAAATGAACTATTGGGACTTCATCAAGATAAAAAGCTTTTGCACAGCAAAGGAAACAGTCAAGAAAACCAACAGAATGGGAGAAGATATTTGCAAATGACATATCAGATAAAGGGCTAGTATCCAAAATCTATAAAGAACTTACCAAACTCAACACCCAAAGAACAAATGATCCAATCAAGAAATGGGCAGAAGACATGAACATTTTTCCAAAGAAGACATCCAAATGGCCAACAGACACATGAAAAAGTGCTCAACATCACTCGGCATCACGGAAATCCAAATCAAAACCTCAATGAGATACCACCTCACACCAGTCAGAATGGCTAAAATTAACAAGTCAGGAAATGACAGATGTTGGCGGGGATGCGGAGAAAGGGGAACCCTCCTACACTGTTGGTGGGAATGCAACCTGATGCAGCCACTCTGGAAAACTGTATGGAGGTTCCTCAAAAAGTTGAAAATAGAGCTACCATATGATCCAGCAATTGAACTACTGGGTATTTACCCCAAAGATACAAATGTAGGGATCCGAAGGGGTACGTGCACCCCGATGTTTATAGCAGCAATGTCCACAATAGCCAAACTGTGGAAAGAGCCAAGATGTCCATCGACAGATGAATGGATAAAGAAGATGTAATACACACACACACACACACACAATGGAATATTATGCAGCCATCAAAAGGAATGAGATCTTGCCATTTGCAATGACATGGATGGAACTGGAGGGTATTATGCTGAGTGAAATAAGTCAAACAGAGAAAGACATGTATTATATGATCTCACTGATATGAGGAATTCTTAATCTCAGGACACAAACTGAGGGTTGCTGGAGTAGGGGGTAGGGTGAGAGGGATGGGGTGACTGGGTGATAGACACTGGGGAGGGTATGTGCTCTGGTAAGTGCTGTGAATTGTGCAAGACTGTTGAATCTCAGATCTGTACCTCTGAAACAAATAATGCAATATATGTTAAGGAAAAA